TCAATAAGGATAATTTGTGCCATCAAATTGGGGTGGCTTCTTTGTGTTGTTGATTTGAGCCATTTTTACACCGAAGGTTGTTAAGCCTCAAATCACGGTGACCTCGGCTCCGATACCACTTGAAAGGTCCTAATGGCTAGAGGGGGGTGAATAGCCTATAAAAATTTCTACAACAACACTTAAAAACCGGTTAGACAATTATGAGGCGAAGCAAGTGTTGCGCTAGCCTACTAAAAATGCAAGCCACCTACCACAATTCTAATTTATATAGTTTCTATTCACACAAAAGCTATGTCACTACACTAAGTTAGTGTGCTCTCAAAAGTTAACTAAAGAGCCACACTAACCAAACTAACAAGCTCTCATAACTAGCTACACTAAAGAGCTTGACAACTAGTTTGCGGTAATGTAAAGAGAGTGAGCAATTTGTTTATACCGCCGTGTCGAGGAGTGAACCAAAAAATCACAAGAATGAATACCAATGAAGACCAATCACCTCAAAATCAAATGATGAACACAATGATTTTTTATCGAGGTTCACTTGCTTGCCGGCAAGCTACTCCTCGTTGTGGCGATTCACTTACTTAGAGGTTCACATGCTAATTGGCATCACATGCCAAACCCTCAATAGGGTGCCGCACAACCAACACAAGATGAGGATCACACAAGCCACGAGCAATCCACTGAGTACCTTTTGGCTCTCCACCGGGGAAAGGTCAAGAACCCCTCACAATCACCACGATCGGAGCCGGAGATAATCACCAACCTCCGCTCGATGATCCTCGCTGCTCCAAGCCATCTAGGTGGCGGCAACCACCAAGAGTAACAAGCGAATTCCGCAGCGAAACACGAACACCAAGTGCCTCTAGATATAAACAATCAAGCAATGCACTTGGATTCTCTCCCAATCTCACAAAGATATTGAATCAATGATGAAGATGAGTGGGAGGGCTTTGGCTAAGTTCACAAGATTACTATGTTAATGCAAATGGCCAAGAGAGTGAGCTAGAGCCGGCCATGGGGCTTAAATAGAAGCCCCCACGAAATAGAGCCGTTGGGCTCCTCACTGCACTGAACACGGGCCGACCGGACGCACTGGTCAGATTGACCGGACGCTGGACCTCAGCGTCCGGTCACGCGATGCACGCCACGTGTCCCCTCTCTTCAAATACTGAGTGCCCGATCCCAATGGTTAAGTGATGACCGGACGCGCTGCTACGAAGTGACCGGACGCTGAGCTGCTGCGAAGTGACCGGACGCTGGACCTCAGCGTTCGGTCGTTTCCAGTAAGCATCCAGAAGCGAGAAATCACGACCGGACGCGTCCGGTCATGCTCGACCGGACACACCCACCGTCCGGTCACACGACGTCTCCCCTGTGCGCTGCCACATCATTAGGACCGGACGCACCCCTCCATCGTCCGGTCACTAAGTGACCCAGCGTCCGGTCAGAGACCGACGCTAGCGTCTTTGCAGCATCTACTGACCGAACGCACCGGTCTAACCGAGGCCAGCGTCTGGTCACTTACAGTGACCGCCGTCTTTTCTGTATAGGGCATCGGTGGCACCGTCAGACTATCCGCACTCTACGGTCGGACACTCCGTCGGTGAAGTTCCTAACCCTTGCTCAAATGTGCCAACCACCAAGTGTATCACCTTGTGCACATGTGTTAGCATATTTTCATAAATATTTTTAAGGGTGTTAGCACTCCACTAGATCCTAAATGCATATGTAATGAGTTAGAGCATCTAGTGACACTTTGATAACCACATTTTGATACGAGTTTCATCCCTTTAAATAGTACGGCTATCGATCCTAAATGTGATCACACTCACTAAGTGTCTCGATCACCAAAATAAAATGGCTCCTATCATTTATACTTTTGCCTTGAGCCTTTTGTTTTTCTCTTTCTTCTTTTCAAGTCCAAGCACTTGATCATCACCATGGCATCACCATCGTCATGTCATGATCTTCATTTGCTTCACCACTTGGAATGTGCTACCTATCTCATGATCACTTGATAAACTAGGTTAACACTTAGGGTTTCATCAATTCATCAAAACTAAACTAGAGCTTTCACCCATGCCGTGCCGTGTCGGGTCGGCCCATATCTCTACAACAATACTATCAGAGGTGATAACTCCTCTAGTTCTCATTTTCAACTGACATATGACTGTAGGTAAAATTCTCCCATTAAGCTTTTGTCCAATCTGCCTTCTCTTCCTCCACAATACCATTAGCATATCCCTAATTTTATCAGCAAGCTCAACTACAGGAAGGTCCTTTCAGTCCTTGATCCAATTATTAAAATATTCAACAAGGTTGTTGGTTATATAATCACACTTGATTTCAGGGTTAAATGCACTTCTCATCCACAACAATTTATGATGATTGTCAAGCCATTCCATCACTTGATAGCTAGCCTCTCTAATAAATTTGAAGAAATATTGGAATACTTCAACTCTATATGCTCGAGCTGCAGGATACATCTTCGAAAAAACATCACCCCCAAACTTCTTAACGAAATTCTGCATAAGATGTCTAAAACACTCTCTATGTTCAGCATGAGAAAACACATTTTTAATAGCTTTCTCTAGACCTTTGCATGCATCAGTGCAAATAGCAAGAACAGGTAGGTCTCCTATGACCTTATGCAACTGAGTCATAAACCATTCCCAATTTTCTGTTGTATCACCATCTATGAAGCCAAATGCAACATGGTACATCTAATTGTGTCCATCTAGAGTAGTGGCTGCTGCTAAGTGTCCACACCATCTACCATTCAACTCAATGGAGTCTATACTAAGGTAAGGCCTACATCCCTCTAGAAAACCCTCAATACAAGGAGTCAAAGCACAAAAGAACCTGTGAAAGTGTACCTTGCCATCAACCATCTTGATGTCAATCTCAATGACACTGTTTGGTGAGTACTTCAGAACCTCTGCCCTCCAATTGTAGAGCATTTGGAAGCTTTCCTCCCAACTGCCAAACAACTCTTTCATTGCAATCTGTCTCCCCTTATAAACGGTGTCATAGTGAATTTCACATTTGTGGTCGTTTTGCAGCTGCTTCTTCAATTCTTTTGGGCCCATATTTGGGTCCTTCCTAAGGTGCTTGATACCCCTTGAAGCAACCCAGGCAGCAGTGGGTGTAGTAGTAAGTCTCCTCGCACCGGATGAACAATTATGTTGAGCAATTAGAGCTGTAACCTACATTATTACAGAAATTAGAACATTGCCATAACTCAAAAAAAGAAGTCATATTCATATAACAAAAAAATTATGTATACCATAACAGTTTTTGAATGATGTTGTTTTTGACCATTAATATGCCAAGGGCAATCTGGTGCCATGCACTTCCCAATAAACCTCTCTCTGTCTGTTTTCACAGTGTGTAGTGCAAACTCTTCATTAATGACAAATTGCCTCACAGTGAATCTAAACTCAACCATGTTGGGGTACATGGTGCCAATATCCATGCATGGTTTGTTAGGGTCATACACCATCACCCTCCTCCTGTATTGCATCATCAATAGGGATAGCTACACCTCTAGTGTCAACATCAGGGACTGTACTACCATTGTTTGCGGTAGCCTGATCATCATTTGAAGTAGAATCAGCAACACCCTGGTCATGATCATCCTCGGTTCTCAGGTCCAACAAACGATACAGCTCATCCTCATCGAAAATTTCTAACCTTCCTTTCCCTTCATCATCTTGCCTTTCCTCAATCCGTAATTCATCCCAATTAACGATATGTCCCTATGGCTGTTCTAGAATGCCACCATCTACAGGCACTAAACAAAGCTCAGGCTCCGCATCGAGCCTAAAAAAACACCAATTACAGAGTTAGAACACTACACGCATACCATACAACTAGTCGTAGTAAGATATATTTGTACAACAAAGAGTAAATAATGATGCATACCCGGTAACTACATCACTCCGATTGCAATCCATAGCACAAGCACATAAGAGAATCATGGTTTCTTACTCCTGTAAAACCCTAAGTTAACACTATACCCATTGAATCCACAAATCAATCCTGAATATGGGCGCCTTGAAGCCTCACCTTAGTTCGGAGGCAGGCACGCGTCCTGGACTGCGGGAGCCTTCACCTGGGGACGACCTGGGCTGACCGCTAGCCGACGGCGCGAGCAGACAGCTGCAGGGTTGGTCTGAGGCGATGCGCAGGGAGCGGCAGGACGTAGGGAGGGGCGGCGTGCCTGGTGACGCGCGGCCTATCGACGGTGGCCTGCGCGGACAGTGGCGACGGCCGACGTCGGGCTCCCGCCCGAACACCGGTTGAGACAGAGAGAGAACGGGAGCGAAAGGAGAAATTGCCGTGACCGTGAGAAGCAGAGCAAGAGAATAAGGTAGAAGAAGACAGGGGTAAAACGGTCACGCCTGGTCAAAAGATGGGGTCAGAAATTTACAAAGTAAAAAAAATCACGAAATGACAAAATAACGTAAAACACATTTCATAAGGGCATTATGAGGAAGCCTACAAACTTAATGACATTCTAACAAAGCTATGCTCCCCGTAAGAGCAAAATTCCCATTTAAGGACATGCTCCTCCTCCGCACGCATCGCGGCGCGCAGTCAACGGACGCCGTGCCTCCACGCCCCGTCCGGACGCTATAATTAGGCCTTCCTGCCTGCGCCTGCTCGCCTCGCCAGAAACTGCAGCCACTCCAAGCCGTTAGCCGTCTTCTCCCTCATCTCTCCTCTTGTCCCACGCGGGTGGTCCGCGGTCGGGTGAGTGAGTGAGTGAGCAGCTTTGCTTCTCCATCCATCTCCCCATTCTTCCTCCCCCCCCCCGGCCCGGCGGCATACGAGACCTGACCCGTGGCGCTAGCTCGTCGGAACGGCAGTGTCGGCGCGACCGACCTGAGAGCACATCACCGGGTCACCCCGAAAAAAGATGGCTGGAGCAGCGGTGGCGGCGGTCGACGTGCGCAGTGGCGGCGGCCAACGGAGGGGCGTGCTGCCACGCCGCCATGGGGCCCGGTGCACGCCACGCCACTGGAGGCCATGGAGAAGGGGCCCAGGAGAAGCTCGTCTACGTCACCTGCGTCTACAACGGTTTGTGATTTCTGCTTCTATCATGCGTATAGGACTGCAGCCAGGGGGATACACATGGGACATACGCGTACACCTTGGAGGATTAGTCAGGAGTATTCGCAAAGTTTATTTAGTATACATGACAGGTGGGTGTTGTTACTAGCATGGAAAGGGACCCTTTTATGTAAGGGGTAATTTAGCTGACAAGAATTGTTCTAGCTTAGATCCCCGATTCTTTTGGAATTCGATTAAATAGGGTTTTCTTCATGTCCTTTGCAAATGATACTACCTGTTTTCATAGTTTAAGACCGCTTTGGTCTGTCAAAAAAATAGGACTATACTTGGGTTCAGTTAGTTTGCAAACTTAGCGGTTAGCGCGTATGAACACTACCTGCTCCAAAACGTTTTATGTTTATGATAGGGGTTCACATGGTTTCTCCTTTGGGGACGCTTACAGATCACACAAAGTCACAAACCATGTGAACACTGCACAGATTAGATGTTTGCCTTGTTGGGAATTTTGTGTTCATGTGGTTACATATGATTTATGTCGGTACTGGAATTAACAAGCCGGATTACCTTGCGACGGTGGATTTGGATCCCAACTCTCCTACATACTCCCAGGTGATCCACAGGCTCATCAGAAACAAGCCAGAGAAAGAAAAAACAAGTTAAAGCAAGGACGCCAACACCGTGCTAGGCAGCGCAAGGAAGCTTGGATCAGATATGAGTCAGAGTTGGCCGAGTACGACAAAAGAAAATCACAACGAGAAGTCGAAGAAAGATGCACGGCAAATACGCCCTACGATAAGATCCGAGAAGCATTAGAAGAACTCAGAGCGACCTCACATCCCAGTGAAAAACAAGAACAACTCCGGGACTTTCTCCGGTCAGCAGCCCTGAGGACGCATGAAGAAAGGACCCACTCAAGACTACCTGCCAGATCAACGACCCATAGGCAAGAAGATCAAAATCAAAGAAAGTCCGCTTTCGAGAGACTTGGACCAAGTGGAAGTCATAACAGAGAAAGTAGAAGGACTATAGTCAGAGCCACCGAGTTGAACAACCATGAAAGACTAGAAGCAGGACGCCTGCCCAGACAGCCTCGCAGGATTACTCTCATCAAAACAACAGTTGGCCAGAAGGAGGTGCCGAATCAGAATTCAAAGAAGCCGAAACGCACGATAGATTCCCTTGTTTTGCAAACAGACTTGCGTCAATATGACTACCTCACAAGTTCAAACCGTCCAACCACTCTAAGTATGATGGCAAAACTGAACTAAGGCAGTGGCTCAGGATATATTCGCAATCAATTGAACTAGCTGGAGGAGACGACGATATCAAGACCCTGTTCTTTCCCATGGCCCTAGAAACCATGCCTCTCCAATGGTTCGACAAATTGAATCCAGGATCAATCAAAAATTGGGAGGACTTGCAAAGAGCTTTCTGTGAAAATTTCACGGGGATCATTACACACCCAATCACCCACGTAGAGTTAAAAGGACTCAAGCAGAAGGGAGGTGAAAGTCTCATAGATTACTATCGATGATTCGGCGAACTACGAGCTCAAGTACATGACATCACCGAACAAGAAGTAATTGAAGCTTTCTCTCATGGAATCATGGCTAGGTGGCAATTTCAAGACTTCTGCAAAGAAAATCCGAGAAACAATGAAGAATTCAGACGAACAGTAGAAAAGATGATTACTGCGGAAGAGAAGACACGAGAGAGGTTCCCGGATAGAAGCAACCGAGACAACCCGAACAAGCAAAATCATCGAAATAGCAGACATCAGGAAAGAAAACGTAGACCAGACAACACCGTGGCAATGGCTGACAAATCAAAGAAGTTTTCCAAACCCAGAAGATATGACGACATCGAAAACATACGTTGCCCATTGCACCCTAATGGGAAGCACACCATCGGAAATTGCTACACCTTCAATGATCGATACACAAGAAAAGATAGTAAGGGGAACACTAAAGAAGACAATCAGAAAAAGATGAGGACAACCACGAAGACAAGGGATTCCAAAAATCCAGGGGGACGGTAGCAGTGATCTTCTTCGGGGCCCCAGATTCCAGAAGCAAACATCAAGAAAAATAAGCACTACGAACTATCATGGCAGCAGAACCGGCTACTCTAAGATATCTCAATTGGTCACAGTATCCAATCCAATTTTCAAGAGAAGACCAATGGACTAGCGTGGGAAACGCAGGCCATTACCCACTGGTTCTAGATCGAACTATTGCCGGTATGACTGTCACCAAAGTACTAATCGACGGGGGAGCCGGACTCAACATCATCTTTTTAGAAACGCTAAGGAAGATGGGACTGCAATTCGCCGGGATGATTACACCAACAAGTACACTTTTTATGGCATAGTACCCGGCAAGGCAGCCATGCCACTTGGACAAAATACTGTACCTGTTACTTTTGGAACTCCCTCGAACTACCGCACAGAATTCAAGTTTGAGGTTGCGGACTTCGATTCATCATACCATGCAATCCTCGGGCGCCCAGTGCTAGCAAAATTCATGGCAATATCGCATTATCCGTACCTACTGCTTAAGATGCCAGGACCTAACGGTGTCCTTTCTCTTCAAAGTGATTTGAAGCGCGCTTTTGACTGCGACATTTAGGCAATCCAAATTGCAGCCAAAGCACAAGCCAACAATGGTAGAAAAGAAATAGCCACTATTGCCGCAGAAATAAGCCAAGAAGAACTAGAGATACCGGCTAAAAAGCCCAGCATCCTCGCACCACTAAAAGAAGTCGTCGTCAAGCAAATTGACCTGGGCACTGGCGATCCCTCCAAGACAGCAACCATCCGCACCCACCTCTCGACAAAATAGGAACTCGCGCTCACCAACTTTCTTCGGGACAACAAAGATATCTTCGCTTGGAAGTCGGCCGACATGCCAGGTGTCCTAAGAGAGTTGGCTGAGCACAGAATCGATATCAATGAAGGCTCCAAGCCTGTAAAGCAACGACTACGACGATTCTCACCTGACAAGAAGGCAGCGATTAAAAAAGAGATCACAAAGCTAATGGCGGTTGGATTCATCAGAGAAATTCTTCATCCAGATTGGCTAGCGAACCCAGTTCTAGTACAGAAAAAGAACACGGACGAATGGCGCATGTGTGTCGACTACATGGATCTCAACAAGCACTACCCGAAGGACCCATTCGGGCTACCACGCATTGATCAGATAGTTGATTCAACAGCAGGATCCGCCCTATTATCTATTCTTGATTGCTATTCAGGGTATCACCAGATCGCATTAAAAGAGCAATACCAGAGCAAGACATCTTTCATCACTCCGTTCGGTGCCTACTGCTACAAGACCATGTCGTTTGGACTCAAGAATGTTGAAGCCACTTACCAAAGAGCTATCCAAACGTGCCTTGGTGATCAGATCGGCGAAAACGTAGAAGCATACGTGGACGACGTGGTGGTAAAAACAAAGAACCCGGATACACTGATTGAAGACTTAAAACAAACCTTCGAGAACCTGAAAAGGTGGAGGTGGAAATTGAACCCAAACAAGTGTGTATTCGGAGTTCCTTCAGGACAACTACTCGGTTTCTTGGTCAGTCATCGCGGAATCGAAGCAAGCGCCAAGCAAATTCGAGCCATAACAGAGATGGGCCCACCTCGAAACATCAAAGATGTGCAAAAGCTAACAGGCTGCATGGCGGTACTCAATCATTTTATTTCAAGGCTCGGCGAAAAAGGGTTACCTTTCTTTAAACTACTAAAGAAGATAGTCAAGTTCGAGTGGACGGAAGAAGCCAATGAAGCTTTCAAGAAACTTAAGGCATACCTCACATCGTCACCAGTTCTCACACCTCCAAAGAAAGACGAAGACATGATGCTATACATTTCGGCAACTTCTACTGTGGTCAGCACGACGATAGTCATAGAAAGAGAAGAAGAAGGGCGTGTGTATAAAGTACAACGACCCGTATACTACATCAGTGAAGTACTGTCAGAATCAAAAATCCGGTACCCGTATGTGCAAAAACTACTCTACGCCCTATTGATCACTTCACGCAAGCTTCGCCACTATTTTGAAAGCCACAAGATTATCGTGGTGACAGATTTCCCACTCGGAGACATCTTACACAACAGAGACGCAACAGGACGCAAATCAAAGTAGGCAGTTGAACTCGGTACTCTCAACATCGATATTGGTCTCCGCATTCCAATGTCGGTTCTCCACCGCCTCCTAGGTTGCATCTACGTCGTTCCTTAAGTCAGTTTGATCCAAGGGCTCACGTTTGATGCTCTGGGCTATATATACCAGCTCCTGCCACCCCCTAAGGCATCAAGTCATTTGAGAAGACAGAAACCCTAATCATCCTCAGAGCTCCATCAATTCTAGGGCATAGCTAGTTAGGTTAGGTCTAGAGGGAGGCAAGCAGGCTTTGCTCGGATTCCTAATCATGTCAAGAGCGTGGTTTGGTATAATCTTTGTATCCCCTCTCTTTTGTATCTCTATTATTTTTATATGCTTGCTAGAATTGTTATGACAATATTAGTATTCATCTTATTCATGTTCTTCGTTATAATGTTCATCGTCTACTTTGATTATATACTTAGTATACCTAGTTCATCATTATGTTTATGTATAAGATCGCAAAGCGCTCGCTTCAAAGTACATGGGGTGAGTGGTCGACATTGTGTAAGCGTGGTGTTTTTACGTTATCTGGAACTCCTGCAGCTCCTGCCACGGCGATCCATCAGCCAAGCGCCGCTTCCTGATCCTGCCTTCGTTGCTGTGAGTATTATCAAATAAATGGAGATGGTCAGATGAATGAATCAATTGACTGACTCGACTGCTGACCCCGACTGAGAATCTGTGGTGTGGTTTCGATGGTTATTTGCAGGTCAGGTCGTGTGTATGTCGTTGACACAGCGACAGACCCAAGGGCGCCATCCTTGCATAAGGTGGTTGAGTCTGAGGACATTGCTGAGAAGACTGGGCTTGGGTTTCCTCACACGTCTCATTGCCTTGCATCTGGCGACATTATGATTTCTTGCCTTGGGGACAAGGAGGGGAATGCAGCTGGCAATGGCTTCCTGCTGTTGGATTCAGAGTTTAATGTCAAAGGGCAGTAAGTTCTTCTCACAGTTTAGAACTATGGCCAATTACAGAGCATATAGCCTATTATCGTAGTACTACATCATGCTGTTATACAGTTTGCCACATTTACAGTAACATAAGATTAAGAACACACGATGACTTGTATAATGGGTGTAGTTCAAGTAATGTGCTCTGAAATAGCTGCAGATGTATGGCAAATTGCTTGACATGTGAAAACTAGACTGATTCATTATGCTGATCTCTGTGTCTTGATTAATTATTAAGTCTTTGCACTTTGCTACATGCAGTTGGGAAAAGCCAGGTCATAGTCCATTGTTTGGATATGACTTCTGGTACCAGCCTCGCCACAAGACGATGATCAGTTCATCATGGGGAGCCCCTGCAGCGTTCAGGACAGGTTTCAATCTTCAGCATGTCCAGGATGGCCTGTACGGAAGGCACCTGCATGTGTACGACTGGCCTGGTGGTGAGCTCAAGCAGACACTTAATCTAGGTGACACTGGACTTCTTCCCCTTGAGGTAATAAATTATTGAAAATGTAGAAAACTGCTGCCAGAATAATTTTGCATTTGTCTATATTTGTTACTTTTGTGCTGTCTTTATTTCTCTGTAAATGCTACCAGAGTAGTATGGTGCTTCCAGAGCCTGTTGTAACACTTCTCTGTTTGTTTGTTTCACCTGCAGGTGAGGTTTTTACATGATCCATCAAAGGACACTGGCTATGTTGGCTGTGCTTTGACAAGCAACATGGTGAGATTTTTCAAGACCACGGATGGATCGTGGAGCCATGAGGTTTGTTCATGCTACATGATAAGTTCTTTCCCACCTAATGAGCTTGATTTTCCAACTTGCTTATATTCCTATGACTGCGCTTGTAGGTTGCTATCTCTGTGAAAACATTGAAGGTCCGCAACTGGATTCTGCCGGAAATGCCAGGATTGATAACTGATTTCGTTATCTCTCTTGACGACCGTTATCTCTACTTGGTAAATTGGCTTCATGGCGATATCAGGCAGTACAACATTGAGGATCCTGCAAAGCCTTTCTTGGCTGGACAAGTATGGGTTGGTGGTCTTCTTCAAAAGGGCAGTGATGTCGTCTATGTTACTGACGATGGTCAAGAAGAACAGTATAATGTGCCTCAAGTCAAGGTAATCTCCCCTCTTGAAACCTTCTGAAACGAGAAGATTTTTATAATTATTACAGTTCGGGTTTCAGTGGTGGTTATGGGTGGTTCACTGTGGAGTTACCAAATACCAAACTACACCACATCCATTTCTACAAACTTTTGCATTGTCACGCTAGAATACTGGCACACTTGGAATCCTAATTAACCATAACACTTCCAGAAATAGGCAAATAGCCAAGATGGAAATACAATGGAATTTTGATTACTCTGATTCACCATATGTTTCTTTATAATCAGGGTCATCGACTTAGAGGTGGACCACAGATGATTCAGTTGAGCTTGGATGGCAAGAGGATATACGTGACCAAACTCACTTTTCAGCCGTTGGGATGAGCAGTTCTTTGGTGATGATCTTGTCAAGAAGGGCTCCCACATGTTGCAGATCGATGTCGACACCGAGAAAGGAGGGCTGGCTATCAACCCCAACTTCTTTGTAGATTTTGGCACCGAGCCTGATGGTCCTGCCCTGGCCCATGAGATGAGATATCCTGGTGGGGACTGCACCTCTGATATATGGATCTGAGGTCAAGGATTTGGCATAACAGGCTGATGGAGATCCCCGCTGTTGTATGCACTGTAATTAACATGGTATCCGTGCAGTGTTTAATCTTGTATCGTGACTGTTGCCAGTGGAATAAGGCATGGTTTCATGAGAACTTTAGATTAATAAAAAAAGTATCGATTCTAAATTTTCTGATTGTCGTCGGCTCTGCCGTCTTTGCTATTGTGTATTGTGAGATTTCTGGTACAGCAGGCGCTCTCGTTCTATCAGGAGTGTGTTGCAGCACCAGGACTAGGAGTATTTTTTATCACTATGCACGATTTGGCGATGATAGGACAAGCTCCTCAACCTCCTCAAGCTTGCAGTGGTGTACTGTGCGCTAACACTAACGCAAATGCATGTGGCTCAAACGTAACACAGGGCCAGATAAAAGGTCATATTCTGCAGCTGATTAAGTCCGGATGTTTAACTCTAAACGCAGAGCATTTCATATCGACCATCTCAAGGTTTAGCGTTGAGGTGCGGGAGGTCACTTGGAGTTGTTCAGTTAATCTCCGGTATAAAATTTATCTCAATCTCCTCTAATACCCACCCCCACCAAACCTAAGAATCCGCAATACTAATCCTTGCTAAACCAGGCAAATTTTTAACTCTTTATAGTCCACTTAAACACCGTTCAAAATTGATCAAAATGGAAGAAAACAACGAAGCCACGCGCAAGAGGGAAATTTGCCTATTATCAACCAAGGTTCAAGGCACATTTACAAAGCGAGGCCCAAAGAACGCAAATCAATACAGTGCAAATCCAAAGAAAGAAGATTATATATTCTGTTTTGGTTGGGGTGCGCCAGGCTCGGGCAGTAGTGCAACGCCCAAGCGACACGTGAGGACCCCAGTAGCAAGCTACTGTGGTGGGCCCTCCCCCACAAAAAATAAATTTAATATCGAAGTGGACACATGGCCCACATATCAGATATTAAACTGATAAGAACAGATACTACACTTGATCTTAGCCAAAAGGCCGAGAAAGGTATGAGTTGCTCGGCTGCCCAGGGGTCTCCTCTTATAGCGTTCCTCTGGCTTCGCTCGTCCAAAGCGTCCGAGGTGGGACTAACAGAGTTGCGCTCGGCGCAAGCACGGTGTGCGTTCTTTAGTACCAGGCGTCGGTGCTACCCAGGCAGAGGTGGAAATGGGCTCGCTAAGGCCCATCAATAGCTAGCCCACCAAACAAGAGAATCCCTCGGGTGTGGAATTCGCTCCGTCTCCTTCCGTCCTACCTACCACTTGGCTTCGTCAGAGTTTGAAGCGGCCATGCTGAGCCAGTGAGCCATGCGGCCTCCGCGTCCCGCCGACGCTCCTCTCCCGCCTCCGCGCGTGCAGGTCCGCCTCCCACGCGCTCCAGTGCCACGCCCTCCTCCTCACCTCGCCGCCTCCCCGCTGCGCCTCTCCAACCTCCTCCTCCTCGCCCTCGCGTCCGTCCCCGGCGCCGCCGCGCTTGCGGACGCCGTCTTCGCGCGCCTCCCGGAGCCCGCAACTTAATTGCATTCGCCGGTCAATAGACATGGAATCCAGTCCTCTTGCATCATCGACTCTGAATGAACTCTGCGTCATGTCACGCTGCAACTTTTGATCAGCTTAACTCAGAAACCAACATTTGAACCATCCGTCTCTTTCTTTTCTCTCTCTCCCTCTCTCGTTCCCTCCCGAAGCGGCGACGTGAGCGAGGCGACGGCGCGGGCAGAGCACGGCGGCCTCCCTCCCTTCCCCCCACCCCCACGCGGGCGGGCCCCCACGGCACGGCTTGGCGAGGCCGGCGCGCGCGGCCTAGCGCGGCGCGGGCGGCCACCGCCGGTGGCCGCGGCCCCCCTCCGCGCGAGCTCCTGCAGACTATCGGCGCGGCTCTGCTCTTGCTCGATCCGTCCGCTCGCTGGTTTATTCCCCCTCTCTTTCTCTCTCTCCCTCCCCCTCTCCCTGATGTGGCATATATGCATGGCGCTCGCTGGTTTACTCCACCCCCCCCCTCTCTCCCTCTCCTTCTCCCTCTCTCCTGATGTGGCATATGCATGGACGAACGCGCGATTTCACCGTAGATCTGGTGTTCTCCTCCTTTTGTCCTGTCGATGTACATGGTTACTGCGAATTCTTGTTCTGTATAGTCCTGATCTGCTCGGTTCTGCTGGATCTGAGAGCAGGCAGCTATTATGACCGATATCTGAGTACATGAGCATGGCAGCGATATTTGTTTGACACCATGTGCACTGCAGTGCTGGTGTTTTTGGGTTTATTGTTTGCATTTCAGTCATGTGCAGTGATGAGTATGATTTCCTATTGTTGTTACATTTAAAATTGAGGGAATAGGCTACTGCTATGATAATTGCACCATAAATTTAGATTTTTTTAGAAAAGGGTCTTTCATTTTTAGATGCCTGAGGCAATGCTCATGAGTTTGGCCTACCTTTTTTTAGATGCCTTTCCACAGATTCTTCCTCTTACATTTTTTTACTGTGTTGACGACTTAGGCAAAGCGTCTGAGTTTGGCCGATGTTGGGCGTATCGTCGGTAGCAAAATTAATTTCCACCGTCCATTTCCAGACCTGAGGTCTAGCTTTACCCCCACCATCTTTTTGCTGTAGCGGACCGCGTGTCGTCGCCCGGTTGGTTGGAGGGGGAAATGACACGCCCGATTGGTTGGAGGGGGAAATATCTCCCTTACCTGCATCCCATTCTGCCTGTCCCATGATACCTGAGGCGATGGTCAATTGGTTGCTTCAGTTTTCTTGCATTCATTCCTGCCTGTTCTATTCTGTGTAGTTTGGGCGCACCAATGAGAGCTACTGCTGATTGCGTATTTAGTCACATACTATGCGGCTGGAATTCGCTCTTACTTATGAGATCTGAGGTTGTCATACCATTGCCTGTGATGATTTCTCCTTTGCCTGTTCATTATCTGTGATCATTGCCTGTGACGCCAAATTATATACTGTCCTTTCTGAGCACATGCCCTATTCCCAAGGATTACATTGCCAATTTGCCATACACTTTGGTTGTGTGCATTCACTTTTGCCTTTCCTGTTTCTTTAGTTTTTGGGCATGAATTTTGTGCTGTCTTGTGCTGTACTTGCTTTTATTTTGGCCCAGTTAATATTTCTGTTGACATTTTGGGCACCATCGACAGCACTTGCCTGCTGCTTCATAAGAAGAAAGATCATTCATCTTTTTCCGTCCAGTCTTGCGGTTGCACTAATAATTGCAATGCTTTCTTCAGACCAGTACGCTGTATATTTATTTGGTATGTAATTTGGAGCACCCTATTGCCATATCTTCCTTCGGTATGCATGAGATTAATTTTGGGTGCTTTGGGGACAGCTGAAAGTCACTGATCTTTGGTACATTGGTTTGTGCAGCAATCACGAGAAAATGGGTATGTTCATAATTTCAGTACCAGGTACAACCTTCAGTTTCTATCTTCATCCAAGAGATGCCTAGAATTCCTTTTCTGCATATTGCATGTTCTCCCTATTTAAGGTAAACAGAGGCATAGATCAATTTATATTTATACCTAATTGCTGTAACTTCAACCATTCAACTTGCTTTGGATATCAATTTTGCCTTGCTAATGTTGCGGGGTCATGAATGGGTTAGGTTTTCCATGCTAGCAGCTTGCCAATAATTTCAGTTGGGGATTATCTTTAGTTTTCCATTACTGCAAGTTTTACAGTCTAACTTTCCCAACTATTATGCTTCTATTATCTAGCAAAGGTCTTAATTTTATTTGTGAAATCTTTGCAGTGATCTATGCTTGAAATTGAACTATATCAGTGCATCCTTCTTTTTTCCAGATGTGGTTTGGTGACTTCCAGGTTCCTCTTGTGTAACCACTACCGGACAAAGGTAATCTGGGTTTTCTTTAATTCTTTATTCCCTTCCAATACCTGTGTATGCAAATTTTAGTGCTCTTCATGTACATGAGGAACTTCTGTTTTCCTATAAAACAAAATATAAAGCAACACACAATAGAAGATATTGTTGAAGATCTGTCGAACTTGATTGCTTCATCATGAATTTATGTTGCCAATTCCCTGGTTGGAAACAAACTAATGCTGTTGGTCCTTCCCTTGAATTATGCTGCAGCAGAAGAATAAACCCTGGGACGAGATAACACTGCTATGAGTTCCTCTGAGGTTTGTTTTTGCTGCCCTTTCCCGTCTTTCTTGTCGCAGGCAATGAGATAAGCAGCATCCTCGCTGTTTGTTCAATCTGATTTAGCCAAGTAGCAGACAACTCAGATGTTGGAAATTCTAAGGAGGGTGTTCATTTTACCCTGAATTTTGTTCTGCAACTTTGACCATCCAACTTCATTTGGATATCAATTTTGCCTTGCTAATATCATGGAGTTCATGAAAGGGTTAGCTTTTGCATGCTACCAGCTTGCAAATAATTTCAGATAGTTTTCAATTACTGTATATTTTACAGTCTAACTTTCCAAACTATTATGCTTCTATGATCTTGCGAAATTCTTAATTTTATTTCTGAAGTCTTTGGAGTAATCTCTCCTTCAAATTGTACTATATTAGTGCACCCGTTAGTAGTTTTCATGCAGCTCTGTCACAGAGGTAGTAGTGGTTCCTGGGTGCATTGGTTATTTCCAAGGTTGCATCTGCCTCCATCTACATTATTGCCCATTCATATGGTGTTTATTTAAATTCTATCGACCTTGTCTCCATTTATTGCAGCAAAGGTGGCACAGCTGGCTTCATGGTGGTTCCTGTGCTCTTTAAGTTAAGGTACAACCCCTAACTCAGATTGGTCACGGTATCTTTTCCGGCTCTTTGGTGTTCATGTTGTAGTATACCTATTTGCGTACAAAAATACCAACATTGAACATACTAAAATGTCTTAGGTCTGGTGGAAGTGCCAAACAAGTAGACTTTGGTTTAGTAAACAGTGCCAGGCATTCAGTCGCGGGGCATTTAATTTTTTACCATTATTACGGATGACACCATAACATGTGTCACTGACATGGTATTTTATATACCACCCATCCCGTAAGTCTGGTAAAAAGTTAATTATTCCTTCAGTCTCGCAACGTTAATAATCAGGAAAAGGAACCACCTTGGCCGTAAGGACTGCTGTTAGCATCAGTGTTTATTTGTAGCAGTTATGCTAGGGGAAAAAGTAACGCCCCTATTTTATAATTGTTTTCTTGTGGAGTTTACTGTGGCAAGTCACTGGGGGAGACTTCGGTTGTTGCTTAGTCGTCGTTGCGCTGTGATTCTTAAATTTCAATTAGATTGGTCGGTTGCCTGCTTTTCCATGATACTCACTACATATCGCTAGAATGTTGCACTGTACTCCATTGGCTCATTGATGCCCTTTAAAATGTTCATCATGTTCATTCTGTGGATTCCAAAATAACAGCCTATTTATTCAGTTTTATTACTTTTGTGCCTTACATTTTTTTAGTATTAGATAAGATAGATATTTCCTTTTGTCTTAGGTTTGCCTTAGTGTACTTCCTCACTTTACAAGCATAATAGGCTTGTGCAGCCTCTAAGACTATACATTTCGATTTATGCCATGTAATACACAGCATGCCCTGGATCACCAAGCTTTCTAGCATTATCTTCACCTGTTTATTCAGAACAATTACAATACTGATTCGCTAATCCAGAGTAGTGATTTTTACATCTACTATTTTGGTCATCCCTTATGACCGCAACATCTAAAGATTTGAATTCCTGTAGGTGAAGATTTTGAGAGGCAAAAATAAATGAGTATTCAAACAAGATTGAGGAACTTGCTGCAATGTTTCCTACTGAAGTGGTATGATTTTTCGTTTCCCTGTTGTCTCGTTGCTGTGTAAACTATGATCTTGGATCTCCTCGAGGCCCGACAATATTGGCACTGACATTTTTCATTGGTTTGATTACCTGATGGACTGTATATACACCTACATGGTTCACAGAGTCGCTCTTGCCTTACGATTTTGAATTTAGCATATTATATTTGTGCAAATCAACCGCTGAATCTGATGAGTCTTACTCCATTTTTTCCTTACTGGAAATCACTCCTCTTCGTCTTCTTCAATGATGTCCTCCACGAGCATGGGGTCCTCCTCAAGCATGGGGACCTCCTTGTCATCTGAGATGACCACGACCTCCTCCTCCTGTGGCGCCTAGGGTGCCAACAGAGCACGCGATGGTCCGGTGCTAATGCGAGCGGTCTTCTTGGCACGAGGCATATATAGATTTAGATTGAGATGAATTAGAAGCAATGAATTTTAATAATAGAATAAAGTGAAAGAAGCGTAATAATTTTTAGCAAATAACAAGACTAAGGCAGCAAGAATAAGTGAAGCAAAAGATGCCAAAACGACCATCACAAACTAGGCTTGTGTCCTACATTCAACACAGCTGTGATACCAATTAGTCACACCCGATTTTACAGATAAAATGGGATGTATAAATCTTATGTGCATCCAGAAATCAGTCGCACGTATAAGCTAATAAATTACAAAGTATCATCACAATGTTTATTACATCATCGCGAACAATAATTCATTACAATAACATCAAGTCTCTAATAAAAGCGGAAGAACTAGATAACTACTC